GAGCAAGCGAACGGACAAATTGAATGCAAATTTGGCCCAATGAACGGTTTTGAATGTAACAAGACCAAAATTGAGTACTCAAGCCAAAAACCGTTGAAACAACGATTCGAAAACCACTGAAACAACGAATCGTTGATCATTTAGTTTAAAAAAAATGCTGTTTGTGTGTTGAATTCAATTTGAGCGCACCAGTTATGGTTAAATTCATTTGCGAACCCTCGCCGAAAAATAAAAGCACGAGAATGAGCCATCGCGCGATATGAATCACAAATTGCAATCAACATTTAGATATGTTCGTTCAAGTAGTGTTTGTATCACGCGAATAAGTGATTTGAATTGTGTATAACGGTAACAATTAAGCTTCATCGCTCGCTCGCTCGCTCTCTCTCTTTCTTTGTCTCGCTCACTCTCTCTCTCTCTATGAAGTACACAAAAGAAGAAAAAAAAAACATATGGGCACATCATAGATTCCGACATTGAGTGAACATTACGCGTTAAGCGGGCGAACGAGCGCGCACGTTCAATAGGCGACGAGGTTGTTGTCGTTTTATGAATCGTAAATCATCATTTCTTCTATTTTCCCTCAGCATATATATGAATCGCGCGCAATGCTCACAACCAATAGTGTGTTTTTTTTTCATTTTCTTTCTATACGTGCTCTTCTAATTCGAAAAAGCAAATCGAAAAAAGAAAAAAAAAAGTCGTCGCGATTTTCGTTTGTTGTTGTGTAGCGACAACACATTCACATCCATTGACTTTGTATTTCTTCACATCAATGGATGAGTTTTTTTTTTCGTTCATTCGCTTTGGCTTCTGAAATTTGACCGGCAACCGTTTAGGATTTTTTTTCTCTGCATAGAAACAACCGAACTGTACACAGAGTGCTTTTTTTATTGCTGACAAGCAATCTTTTCAAGCACGTTTTGCAAAATCCAGTCAGTTCTCGCACAGTGTCTACTCAACGTAGACATTTTCTCTCTACTACATGCTTTTAGCGGTATGTATTCAATGAATACACAACAGCAACAACAGCAACGGCAACAACAATGCCTATGAACCTAAATGATGTTCGACTCGTACATATGGTCGCTGCTGCTGCTGACTCGAATGTGGCGCAAGACGATAAACACATACACACATACACACATACACATATGTTTGAAAAGCATGCGGTGCGATATTGTTTAGAATTAGGGTGGACCGTTATAGGGAATTGAGAAAAAAATACAACCAAATCGAATGCACTGAGTGAACTCTATGGGTTTTCGGTTGATTTTCGAAAATACTTTTACAAAACGCATTGCCAGTTCATTCGGTGGTTACTCTAAAGCAGCCAGAGTGTGCAAATGAATACATATAATATGCGGACCAAATGATTACTACACAAATAGTGCGGCAACGTTTTGAATAACACACGATTGAAAGTGGCTCATATATTGTGATATATTCATTGTTTATAATTTACAACACAACTCTAAGTCAGTCTGAGCGCAAGCCTCTGATTTTTCTTTGGAACATTTAATGATGTCAAACGAAGAAACAATTTCTTTTTCTTTTGAATGTCTCTATTTTTTGACGATGATGATGCGTGATCGGTTCAAAAATGAAGCGAACAAACGTACGGGGCCACAAATGAAACAATCGAACAGATGGTGGCCAATGGAAGTATGCACACAACTTGAAGAACAATGTAAATATTGCACAAAAACCCGACAACGGATTATGGAAGACGAGCTTGCCGGCCTCGCAACCGTAATGAATAATAGAAAGCGCAAACATGTAATGTGTACGCCTTAATTGGTTCGAGTTGGATGTGGATCGCATATTGCCGTCATTGTCGTCGTCAGCTAAAAATGCATCACGGAATGAAATGAAAGTACGTTGCATCAAATGATGTGCAATGGGCAGAGAGAAGAAGAAAACACACACGCAATGAATTAACAAAGCGGTTTCGCCTGCACACTCAACGAACTACAATGACACGACGGGATAGAAAGTGATGGCACAATTACATGCACATTCAGTTCGGACTGTCGGCTTTCAATTGTTTCGAATTTGTACAACAACAAAAGATGAGTAAGCAGCGCATTGCATGATGATCATTTTTGCACGTACGAAAAAAAAGGTAAGCGAGATCATTGACTCTGGGGCTTATTTGACTGGTTGTTCGCACTTTTTTTGCCGTTTTTAAACACTTCCCAAAGTCATGATTCAAAATTACATCGAGAAACCACTCGAAGCGATGATTGAAAGAAAGAGAAAGAAATATGAGTTGTCTAGATGGGAAACATGAACTCGAAATTCCTTCCATCGGAAATAAGAGGATGACTTGCTTTCGAATCGTTCAGGAATTACTTACAATGGATCAATCCTATCGAAGCTTGAACAAGCCTTTGAACATGTCGTTTGGCTCAACGTCTCATCGCTTTGAACATTATTCACTGCATCGCGATCTTATTGACGCCTGTCATCACTCATTTCAATTTTTTCGGACATTTGTTGCCATCTCACAATAAATCAAGAAACAACACAGCTTTCGTCGACTAAATTACATTGCGAAAAAATTGCGGTAAAGTGGAGAAAAAAACAACGCACATTCAAAACCATTTTTCTATTTTGCCGACATCATAATAATAGTCTCTATGACAAGCAGATATTTGGGATTTGGTGCTCAACACAAAACCTCATTCGATTTAACAGCGGAACGCGCTTCGACTCACATTTTCACAATATGGATGGCATTCTATTTCGTACACTCATTTATCATTCAACGGTGGCGTCGATCGGTTTTTATTTTGACCCTGTATACCGATCATGTAGCCCATTTACAATGCCGAAAGACCGAGAAACCACTTCAAACGCTGTCGAATATAATAAATTCAATGGAATGAGTTTGAAGCCAAATGAAAAGCATTAATTTAGTGGTGATCGCTTGCATTTCAAATCCAATACGAATTTTCACACACATGATGACAATGGTGGCACCTCTTTTGTTTGGTGTAGTGGTGGTGGTGCTGATGATGGTTAATAGAACAGGTGACCTTCATCTAAACCCAAAGACAAACTCATCATTCAACTTAGATGCCAAAACACTAACGAATGAACTTCAAACCCTTCATACTGACACACCGCATCACATATTCAATGCGGCGAACGAAACATTCTGTGTCCAATAAGAACGGAAATTGTTTTCTGACACCAACAAAAATCAATTTACATTGCTGTTACAACTGCTGTTTGTTTCAAATAAAAAAGAAAATCCTCTTGCATTATATGAGTTAAAATGAGTACTCATTGAAAATTACCTTCGAGAAAGCATTTTGTAACTTGTTGCCTTAACGCGACTTCAATGATTTGATAACACACAAAAAATACATAAAGCGAAACCAATTTGACAACACTACACTCCGTTGAAATATATATATTTCACTCGTACGAGAGAAGAATATAAAAAAAAAACCTAAATCGCGTTTCGATCGGCTCGACACAGTTGTTACTCTTTTTTATTCGCTTCTTCTTCTTCTATTTTCAATGTGAAAAAAAAAATTGAAGTAATCGAAGACCACCAAAGCATTCGATTTTGTTTAAAAAAAAATAAATAACTAATCGTCAGTCACAATTGAGAAGCACAACAACACAATCACAAAATGTCCTCAGTAATACACATAGGCCTGATAGGGCCTTCCAAATGTTTTATCAACCAATTTCGATATAAAGTTTTACTGAGCAAACTTATTTTTTTTCCTGCTACGAATCGCGAACTTTAACCGCGTGTGTACACACTTTACACCGATGAATGTCTCAAAATTGAACAATATTTGTTAGGGTCGAAATAAAAACTAATGGATTTGTGATTCACTGTGGTCCAAGCTAATCTCCTTATATTCACAACAACGGCACTGTACATTCGATACTCATTTTTGTTCTTCTTTTCTTCTCCTTCTCTTGATTGCAAACAAAGACGAACCGATTCGTTTTCTTTTTCATTCATTCACGGCCTTTTGAAAGCTCGACTTAATTTTTTTTTTTTTTTTTGGTGAGACACAGTGAACACGTTCGAATTTTTTGATAAAAGAAAAACATACACAAATCAATCATTTAATTGGAAATGTTGGTGGTGTCAGTTTAGTGCTGGCCCGCGAAAAAAAATAGGCAAAGAAAGAAGAAAATTTTGTTCGAAGAAGGGGAAAAAAACGTAAAACCAAAACCAGGCAGTCACACTACTGAGCGACGACCGACAATGATGAAGGCTACGATTCTGTACATGAATACACCAAGGAAGCAAAAAAAAAATTGTATAGTTCGAAAAATGTCATAAAACGACAGAGAGGGACAACGTTAGACACACACTTCACACAATTAATTTTCGTCTCTTTTTTTCCACTCGTAAGATTTTGTACGGCTGTATGTGCGCCAATGTGCGTGTGTAGATATGTGAACGTGTGTATTGATGTGAAGAGTAGTCAAGAAGAATAGCAACTGTGCAATGTCGAAGTGCCATGCATTTACAGCCAATCACCGTACAGGCAGAGTACTGTCATCGTTAAGGTATTCCATAACACATTCACAGCCAGTGATTCCATGTGTGTTAGTATGTGTACGTTCTTGTTGGCCAATTTTCGTAGCAGCAATTTTGACAGTTTCAATGGTTCACATTTTTGATTCAAATACAACTGTTTTCGGTTTGAATGATTTTTGTTTTTATTTCTTTCACTTTTCGAATGATAATCTTTTTGATGAAATTTAATTTAATTTAATTGGGTGGTCTTCATTTCAATTAAAAATTACTTAAAATTTCCATAAATTTTTCATTCCAAACCAAAATTCTTTATTTTTTTATGCATTTACAATTTTTCGTTCACTCTTCTAACGACCAATAAATTCGGTCGCCTGCCAACAGATGGCAGTAAAACTCACTACAAATTTCAGCGTCGCCCGACACATACACACACCATCGTTACGATTGTATTGGTGCGTATGTGGATTGTGTGGAACGCGTCGAGCTATAAAATTGTGCAGCTGAAGCATCTGTTGCATTAGTTTATTTCATTTGAAAATTGAAAGCCGTCGCGCTTGACACACAACTCGAAAAATGTTCGTTAAAAATCATCAATCAAATCAGACAACGAATGCATTATAAACGTGAGTTTTGATGAATCGAACGAAATTAAGTGAAAAATTGTGCAAAAATTCGATTTAAATAAAAAGAAAGTGAACATTTTGTGAATTTCTTACAAAAAAAAAATATTTTTCGACTGAAAAATACGTTAAAAAATCCTTTGTTGCGCTAAGCATAATAGAAAGGAAGTGTCGACAGGTGTTCAATAGTGTTGAGAAATTTTTCTAATTTGGGTGTGTGTTTTCTCTATTGCGCCTTTTTCGTAACGAACATAAGGCAAACCAAGCCAAAGAAAAACGAAAATAAAACCAAAAAATGAGCATTCAACTAACAAATACAACGTTCGAAGTGCGAATAACACCGAATAAACGTAAACGAGACGATTTCAAAGAACGAAAGCTTCACCATGGCAGTAACAAGGAGAATAATTTCATGTATAATAATTTTTTGGAAGTAAAATCGATTGCAGAATTACTTGAAAATAAAAGTTGTCCAAATTCAAATTCGAATGGCTACAATGCAAATTGTAATCCATTTGAAATTGTACGCAAACCACCGAAAAAGAAAAACCGAAAAGATTTACCAGAAGACGGATGTTTTGTTAATCCGGCTTTGAATTTAAATGGGCCCGAACATGTTGTTAATCCATTTGAGGTACGACGAGCAGCACCACTTCCAGAGGCCGTTCATCATTGCTTCGAAAATACGGGACTTAATATACGTGGCGAAGAGAGAAAAGTCAACAATCCATATGAAATTGTACGCGAAGGCACAACAGCTGCTGCTGTTGAGAGTAGCAATGGTATGTCGTTATATGCCCTTATGGGAATATTAGTCATTGCATTTTGATTGACGACCGATTTGTATCTCGAATCATTTGGAAGTAGCAACCGAATTTAGCTGGAATATTTTTGGACTGTTTTTCGTTAATTTTTTTCTCGATTTAATTTAATTTCACTTTAATGTGCATTTTTGGATCATTTTGTGACTTTATTGGTGAATTTGTCATTGAAAAATGTTCAATGAAGTGTTTGGTTTGAGTTTTATGCACAAAAATCATCAGACGAGTATTCAAATCTTGGAAGATGAAAGATTGCGAAATAAAGAACGAAAAATAAAAATTAATATTGATTGAAAAGAAGTGCCGTTAGTTTGCTAAAAGTGAATTATGATGAGTCATCATTGATGGCTTCAAATATGCTGGTTTGCAAAGCAATTTAAATCAAAATATTCAAAAATATCTCGGCATTTCGGTCGTTGCTTATAAGATCCAATGAAAAAGTCAACCAATTCTATTTTTCCATTCAATATTAACTCCGATTCTTTCCTATATTTTCTACCTAGGTATTGAGAATCCCTGTCTTGAGGTACCACAAGCTTCATTGGCAATTAACGTTCCATTCACACCAACTGTCGGCCGTCGAATCGACTTCAAAAATATTCCGATCGAAGATTTAACGCCTAGTTCGATGCTCAATCGCCATTTGGTATTTTCGCCCGTAAAATCAGCCGTCATTGAACCATCCGTCACACCGAAGCGTACAAATTTATCGGTAATTAGTGAAGAGGCGGTGGACATAAGCAAAGAATTGGAATGCTATCAATTGGAATTGGAAAATAGTATGAATGAGGCAAAGGTAACAAATAAGCGTGGCAATAAAAATTTAATGGATATCAAACAAAAGAGTACATTTGCCAATCGATTAAGCGCCGCTGGGGCTAAACCAGTTACAACGTTGGAAATCACAGAAGAAGCTGAGGTTGCAACACCGACAAAAGTTGAAGAGCATTCGTGTCATGATGCAAGTGGACATAACGAATGTCCTAAATCGTCGACACCAAAAACACCCAACGAGAACTGCATTGCAAAGTATTCGCTGGACAAATCGATGGACATTAATGAAAATCCCGATGTTGTCTACGAGGAGGTTAATGAAACCCACATAAGCGATGAGCCCGACACGAGCGAACAGGACGTGCAAAATGAACAATTGGAAAGAAATCGATGTGTGGAAGATACGGAACTGTTCAAAAATCCAGCTCCATTTGTTCGCACTTATCGTCGTGATGTACGAAAACGGCCACCCACAGCCAATGTGAATAATGAGCCGGACAAAGAGATCAAAAATGATGAAAAACCAAAAGAAAATCATGAAGTGTTCAGCGGTATCCGCAGTTCAATTCGAAAAAGTATACGAAAATTGATAAATCCAAATGCCGGCAATAAGAGTAAAAACTCAGAAGAAACCACACCAACCAAAGAACAACCAATCCAAAACCACCCTTCATCGAACCTTCTCACCACCATTAGACACAGTCTAAGACGAAAACAACCAAAACAACCATTGGCCACATCAACACCACGCCAATCGTTGAACGATATTTCCATCATTGATACGGCTGAACCCAGGGCCGTTTATAAAGATACCGTCTTTTCGGCCCGAGTTAATCCAGTCGATGAGGATATGCTGCGTCCAAGAACCAATTTACGCAACAGTCTTCGACGATCGAAACATGCCGTAAAAAATGTTTTCAAAAAAGCCACCGAAGACTATGAATTTAGGAAATAAGAACTGATTCCAAATACAAATTATTATAAGACTCATTTTTTTAATAGATATTTCGTTAGTAAGACTCATTTTTTATACATATATAGTTGTTAGTATGAAGCGGCTTATTCGAAGAGGCCATAATCACATTTCATTTTTTTCCGATATGAACAGTTTTTTTTTCTCGATTTCTCATCATTCATCGCACAAAATTACTCGATTTAAGATCACTTTTATTTGCGGTTATTATTTATTTGCACATTTTTTATAGACTAAGCCAAGAAAATCAAGTGTTCAATGACCAAAGTATTGATTTAAGTTCGTCGCATTTGCGAGAGGGATTGAATGACAAACAAAGGAATTTTTTTTTTACCCAGTCTTTGATTATTTATTACTACTCTGAACTCAAACAACTCATTTTTAATAAAACGAAAATTTGTTTTGAAGAAAGCAAAATGGATCAATGGTTTTATTGAAATTTTACTCTTTTTTGGGTATTTTTGACTACGTTTCAGTTGAATTTCAGCTTCTTTTTTTTAGATTAGATAAAGTGTAGAAAAATAAACACTATCATGCACACAGTGCAATGCGGTAAGGAAGTGTAAATTGTACCTTTGTACTCTGAACGTTACTAAGCTCATATAAAAAAGAAGACCATCTTTCGTTCTCTTCAGAAGAATTGTTCCAATTGAGACCGATTTGGATCGTACAATGGACGAAGAACAGGTAAAATTCGAATTGACACCACCAATTCGAGTGTTTTAAATGATTTACAGGAAGCTCGTATGTTTTTTTTTCAGCATGGGTGAAATTTGAGCCTTGAATAGAATTCATTATCATTGCCTTTTGGATTAATGAACGCAAATGTAACCGGAATATTGAACTGTGATTATTATTCAGGGGAAATCTGAAGTGGTTATTGATGATGTCATGGTTTTCGGTCATATTAGTCGTTGCATCGCCTTTAAATTTGCTACAGAAAGACGTACGTGACATATTCCATTTAACAAACCTCTTTGTTTCTCTTCGTTGCCTCTTCTAACTCTACATTCTCAAAATCAAAATGAAAATATTCAAAATATGTGGGAATGTCGTCGAAAGTAATAATTTACGATTCGAGAAGACAAAAAAAAATGAGCCGTTAGCACTTCCGCTGTTGACACAAAGAACTACCGACGAAGAGGGAATGCTCATTTTCTTATTCATTTATCATGCAACCATTTGTTCTATGCATAGAGCATGCATAACCTTCTCTTCACATTCCTTTTGTAAAGAAGGGAAAATAGTACATTTCAATTGTAAACGCAGTCCCGCAGTTTTTTCATCACGTCTAAAATGTGTATGACGTGACCTAACATTTGAAAGCATCAAATTTTCGTTCCTTTTGTGAACAGCTCAGTTTACAGTCAATGACAAATCTAACGTATTTCAGTTTGAATCGATGATTGAATCAAATCTTGAATTTTGAATGCAACGAATTCGAAATAGAATTTCTTTTAAACATTTAATGTGGAGTAATCATAGGTTTGCCCTTCTTTGGAAATCTATCATTGAATTTTAGAGTATTTTTCTAGTAGCTAATGATATTTAATATTTTTTCTAAGCGTAAAGTCCAAACCAACTGTACAAACACTACTCAAATGTTTGTCACTATACTTGGATAGTTAATTAAAAATTCAGTCCATCAATTTTGTTGAAAGAGCTACTTCCTCGTACACGTTTTCGGTTTTTTTATTGCCATACATGCAACGTGGTATAATTTTCATTGCTCGTGAATCGTTCAAGTTTTGTGGTTCAATGGACAAATTTGAACTATCTTACAATTTATATGATCCATTGTTTTAAAAAATAAATTTCATATTTTGCGAGAGAAAGACGAAAAAATAAAAACTTTTACCGAAAATGCGATAGAAGCCTCTCACATTTTGTTTGAAGATAGTAATCGCGTTTCTTTTGCTTTTCCACGGCATATACGATCGACCGTGGCTGTAGAAGAACTGTGTGTATCGTCTAGTCCACATCAACGGGGATGTAGCTCAGATGGTAGAGCGCTCGCTTTGCATGTGAGAGGTAGAGGGATCGATGCCCTCCATCTCCAAATTTTTTTTCTACTGTTATTTTCAATTTTTTATTCATTGATTTCATTATTCTGGGTATGTTGACGTGATTTTTCACCAGAGTTATTTTTTTTAAATAAATTCCCATTAGTTTTCATTACTGTTATTGTTGTTCATAGAATTCATTCAATTTTGGATTGTTATCACTCATTTTCATAGCAATTGCTTTAAAGCACTCTATGACAACGATTAAATAATGTCCGGCATCTCCATGGGTGTTTGATGCTTTTATTCATTTCAATCATTTTCTGAACGTGTTGACATTATTTATCTCTAAATAATCTATAGGTCGAATCAAATTTTTAGTTATTGAATAATTTGATGTATGGTCGCAAATATTTAGGAATCCACAGTGCGTTACTTTATGTTGTTTTCAATGGAATACATTCCATTCCAGAATATTTTCACTCAGTTAAATCAAAGATGGGCGTCTCCACTTCCGAACAATAAAAGCACATAAATACGATATTAGATGAAAAGTGAAGGGTAGTTTATGTCTAAGAGCATTTAGCTCAAAAGAAATGCGTTTTACAGCTTATCGTATATGCCGGTTTATTCATGTTATGCTTATTTTATTCGCAGTATGCGGTGCCCATCCATTATAAGAAAAAATTCAATGTCTGAACAACAAATACTTATGTGATGACTAAAAATTCAATGACAATATTTAAGTTTGATTTTACGTCCAGCTCCGATCAAATTGATGCTAGTTCCTGTTCTTTGGTTGATTTGTTTCAGCCTTTCGCAGAATTTCGGCGGCTTCACCTGCGCACAGTTTTGTATGAAATAACATTTAAAATCATATTATACAAGTATGACAAATTTGCGAAATGCAAAGATTTTATTCAATTTGCAAATTGAGAAAAGTAGTCATTTACATTGGCTTGCTACGTTTTGTAACGTAAAATGTGAGGCAAAATGACGAAAAAACCAATACTATTAAACTTTTTACTTGCATACGACACTCAAAACATTTCGTAAGTCTCGTGCGCTCCCTTATAACAACAAGTCTACGCAACTTATTAATAGTGTGGTAATTTACCATACATTCTGCTCCATACGCTCAGAATTACCCAACGAAAAATTGTGAATTTACCCTGAAAAAGATTTTTTGGAAAAGTAAAGACCCTCTTTTAGGTCTCCAGATTTTTTCCCTGTGAATTTTTATATGTGATTTTGTTTGCGTGTATTGGTATTGCTTCGTCGTGTTGCTTCACATTCTTTGTATAATGTGTGAATTGGCTTGGGTAGACATTGTTCACTCGTTCATATTTACATGCGGTAGACGATGAACCATCTCTAAACAAATGATGGCCAATTTTTTTTTGAATATTTTACCTGTGGCAACCATTCTTGGTGTCTTCCCCTCAACATCTCTAGCATAAATATAAGCTCCTTTTTCAATGACAATTTCCACACGATCTGGGTTGTAAAGCGATCAAATCAATAGAATGTTGCGGATATCACCAATGTGCGGTCTTGTGTTCGTACTCGTCTGATATCTATGGTTGCTAGTGCTGTTGACATGATATTTAATTTTCATTAGCCCCTTTTGAATTTTGTAAATCATTAGAATATTATTGAATTTTACTAGCTGCTGAACATTAAGTATATTGTATTTTAACCGTATCATATCAGTGTTTAAGTTTTCATGATAGTATTCACGGCGAAATATTTTTCGAATGGCTACATTTTGTGCTACTTGAAGATTGTGTATGTGTCGCTATTGGTTGCTGTGGGTTCCCATACAGGAGATAGGTAAGAGAGATGGCTGTGAATCATTACATAATCAACCCTCGTTTTGGCCGATTGATGTACATTATTACCAAGTCGATTCATTACAGAAGCAAAACCAATTATTTTACGGCAAATGGAGTCAATATGGAGATTCCATTTAAGGTTTTCTTGAATTGTAATGCCTAAATATTTGAAGGTTTGAACACGGTTTAGTGTTTTGTTGCACATGGCAAGGCAGCAGCATAATGAAAAGGTGTCTTGTTATGGCAGTCTCCCAAATCAAGATTGGCTCCTTTCGTATTGAGAAAGTCAACGACATTCGAGTGACCTGAAAAAGAACACCGATCAATGAACAAAATCCAAACAATTTCTTGTTTTGTGAAAATAAATGTGCATTTTTTTGCCGAATTCCACTCGGAATTGTTCAATCTTGTCAATTTCATCGTTTTCAATTTTGGTCGTTCGAACGCTTATTAAACGCTAACTTTACACGTTTCGAAATTCGAACGAGCGTTCAATTTAATCTCCACACCTCAAACGTTCAATCGACGTGACGAAATTTCGACAATTTCGTTTGGGAGATATCCGTAAATCGATTCGGTTTGGCTTCAAACTTTCTGAGGTTTTCTTTTTTGGCGATATAATAAGATTCTGAAAGTTTCATGCCATTTCATGCTGATCGCATTTGCACAAGCTTAATTTTGGTCCTCAATTTTTTCCAAGGAAATTTCGACAAATCCATATTTTGTTAGAAAGTTCTTGAGTCAGCAGGTAACATTTTTAGTATCTGAAGTGACGCTTCGCCTGTACTTGCCCTTCTCTTTGATTTCTTCCGCGCTTCGGAATAAAAATAATACGGTAATAAAAAGAACAAATAAAACATAGCACCAAATCAATAAGAATAAGCTAATGAGTGAGCTACCAGCCAAGCGAAGTGATGCCGCAAACGTAGAATAAACGTTTTTTTTCATACCAAACATGGATATGAAAAATACTCGATAATTGTGACGTCTAACAAATGTAACTTCAGAGAAACCGTAAACTGTAAACAAAAATTCTGTCCTTATATCGCACGCTGTATATGATTGACGATTATAATTGATTGGATGATTCTCCACATCTTATCGAGCGATAAACGGCTCGGGTCATATTCGTTTGAAATTTTCGTTATTTTTGTTGTCAAAATGCTATCTGTTGGCCGTGGGTCAACTCTTTTTCTTATCAAACTCAAGGGCTTCGATAAAAATCTAGTTCAAGAACTGAGCTCTGAAAATGTCAAGAAAAAAACAAAACTTTCTCCTCAAGATTGCTTTGTGAACTGTGAAAATGAAGAAAAAAAAGAAACGGCCCTAGTGATTATTGTAGAGCTCGTCGAGATGAAACAAATTGTGCTGAGACTTTGGCCATAGGACAACTTCTGTGACGCCGAGCTCGATTTGAAGGTAAAAATGAACCAATGGAAAAATGTCCATTTTTAAGCAAAATACGGCGTTGGTGTGTCGAGCTCGATTTGAAAATGTGCGTGTCGTCGAACTGAACAATTTTGCCCAATATACCAACCATAAATTTTCATTCTCATGGTACATAAAAGTCAACTGAACTTTCTCTAATTACTTTTTTCCTTGATCATATGAAGCTTTGACCGTCCAGACTAAAGTGTCATAACGACGTACTGGAAAGCTGAATTCAGTCCCTTTAACTTGATGGGAAATGCAAATATTGATTAGATAATCACCAAAAACGTCAATAATTCCGACCACACATATTTATTCGAATCCAAAAGACAATATTTCATTACTAAAACGTCAAATATATGCTTGCAAATGAGTGTCTTACAACCGGGTACATTCCCCTATGTAATTTTTTATCAATTTTGTACCAATTTCCATGACATATATCGATATCGAACGAATGGGATGACATATTCGAAAACAGACAATTGATTTGAATCCTACAATTTATCTACAATCAATTGGACCCATTCTTAATTCGAAAAAAATTTGATTTGTGGGAAATACGTTTTTTGACCAAAATTTGAGTATTCCAGTTTTCGAAAAACTGGATAGCCGATTACTCGAAAAAAAAATTGTTTCTTCATAAAAAAGTACACTAAATATTAAAATATTATCGCTCAATTTGTATTTGCATCCAATACCATTACATTTACTGTGCACATAAGAAAGGATAGGAAATCATTCAATTTTTTTCGGTCATTCTTCAAAAGCGTTAGCATTTGTCTCATTTTAACGGTGCATGAATGACATTAGAGTTTCCACTGCGCTAGTTTCCAATCTTCTTCCAGGCTTTGGGTTGCACTCAGGTTCTCACCATACAGGCGTTGGATTGCCAACACGTCGTCTTCACACAACTGTTCGATTCCATTATATATACGAAACATAACTCCTCCCGCAGCCTCTGAATGATCTAAGCCCAACGCATGGCCGATCTAAAATGTGCAAATTGTATTAAAAAAATTTGAATTATGATTGTTCTGAAGTACACTGAAATGTTTAAGCTGTGGTAGGGGCATACCTCATGTGCTATTACATTCAACAGACTCGTGCGATCTGGGTCAAAATCGGGAAAAAGCATGATTAATGAATTCATATTGAAGGGCATAGTAGATTGAAAAGAAGGAACTATTAGAACCATGCACTCGCATATGAACGCTGCACAGAGTTCCACAGAGTTTGACAGACTCAGTTACAGAGATTCATATACGTAGTGTGCGTTTGAGTGAAACAGCACATCTATGTGCAGTACCGTTCGCGCGTATGCGGTGTTTGCATCTCTGTGACTGAGTCTGCCAAACTCTGTGAAACGCTGTTCACCGTTTATATGGGCTGTAATGAGATGATTAATGTATTTGATTGCATATTGCATAAGCAATATATCGTTAAATTAGATGTAGGCCATATATGGGACATGCCTTATTCCCAATAGATCCTCAATACAAACAACTTTTGTTCTACGGTTGGGTCAAACACCAGACCCGGGATGACCTGGGACGATTTTGTAGCAATTTTTTTCTCTATCCAACAAAATATGGGGTCGACTCTGAGTGTCTCACTTAACACTTTCGATTGGTCAAGATAGCATGAATTTGTTGACACTGTAAAATGACTAAAAGTCCTGAAAAATCTGACGAACTCGAATCTAACTTTGAAGCCGTGTACCAAGTACTTGTATTGATTCATATTCATAGATTTAAGAATCGTTCCATCCTATGTCTGTCTTTGGGCCAAAACTATACTTTTAGTTGAAAAAAAGCAATTCACCTTTGTTGAATCTCTCTTCAAAGTTCCAGTCCTCATCCAAATCAAGATGTATGTACGCCATTTGTTTCCTAGCGTATCTTTTTTCTTTTGGCGGGAATGTATGAGCCAATACACCTCCTGGACCATTAAAACTAAATCCATCACCATGATCTCCTCTAAATATGAAAGCAAATATATTAGTGTTGACTGTTGATGATGAATCAATCGCCATGAACCGAAAATGGTCCTCACCTCGCGAATTTAATCTTAATATCCGCTGCCCAGAAGTAGGGATTTTTTCGAAATTTGAATGGCGATACATCTGACCACAATGACAACGCTGTCTTTAGTATTCGTTTCATAGCCTGGTTACGCGGATCGCCTGGAGGAAACGCCAATTTAAGCCTTGAATACATTTTGCGAAACGAAAATTGAAGAATATTTTTTAATAATATTAAAATCGCATGCGTAATTTTGTGTTCAATTTTCAAAATCATCCCGATTCTTTTAATTTGGCTGGCTAAGCACTGTGCCTTCATAGTTATGAAATGAATGTAATTTTTGTCAAATTTCTCGAATTTTGGACGACAAATTCCAGTTTTATTGGTAGTTATTCGCTCTAAAATTACGAAATAAATAATACCGAAGTTTTCAGTTGTAAGGAGTGAAAAGAGCCTTTTTAAAAGTCTAGTAATACATAAAAAATTGAGCCACATCAAGAATTTCATTTCCACTAAATGTCAAAACGGCGATCGGCATAACATTACGAAATGAGTTTCGAATCTTAAATAATAACTTATTCTGAATTCAAAGCGACCTAAGTTTTCGCACGGTACTTGTCCAGCCTTTGTGCACTCTAAAAAAACCGCATCGGACTATGCGAGAAAAAAAAATTCAATACTTACCAATAAGTTAGATTGGTTTTATTCCATTGGTAGCCATTGTATGCGTACCGTCGAATACGGTTTTTAAGCTTTTCAACAGGCAATGGATCAATGAAAGTTTTCTGAATCACTTGACATGTCTCACGGTTTAAGAAACCACTTTGCGATTTATTATGAACCTGTTGCAAAAATTTAATGGCATTGTTCAAGTCTTTGTCTTTTGCTGGTATCCCCCTACCATCAAACTCAGATCTCCTCAAATAACAATTTTTGAACAAATAATCCGTCTGCAAAGAATGAAAATAAAAGCGCATCATCATTTTAAACGCATGACGAATTCATATGTATATTCAAAACATTGTCTTTTCAAAGAGTGAAAATTGACCATTTTTAAATGGTTGTTCATGAGTCATGAACAACTGAAAATATTTACGAAAAAAGTCAAAATATTTATTTATTTATGCACGAAAAAACATCGAAATATTTACGATAAACCAAAAATAAGCTGAAAATATTTACGATAAAAATAAGTAGAAAAAACCTTATATTTTGAATATTTCTTGGCATTTTCGACAGTTGAGTATTATTCGAAGTTGTTACAGAAAATGATAACGTGTTTAGCTAAATTTTCGAAAGGGAATGAACGTCGATTGTCACGCAAAACATTCTTGTACATGGAAAATGAACGTTCGACATCGGTTGACGTAATTGGAGCAAATTTTAACGCGTCTATTTCAGTCTCCAAATTAGAACGAAATTCAAAGTGTCAAATCGAGTCGTTCGAAGCAATTAGTTATTAGTGCGCGAGAACGTTATTTACATATTATTTGATGACTACACATTTGCAAATGCAAGCGATCATTCGATCAGCTGATAAATAAAATTTGTAAACGTCTACACAGTAATGTATACACTGAATACTGTCAAAATAGCACATATTGCAGAATTGCAACTTTTGGTTTTGATCAACTATAAGTGAGACAATTCGATACAATTCCATTATCTTCGATTTGCAAAGTCATGTAGAGACGTGCAAAGTGCATTTGCAATGTTTTATCTTGAAATATGACTCATGTTCTATTGCAAAATTTATGTTACCTACATCTAAAATATTTATCATTGCTTGAAAAATACTCAAAAATATTTCTGAAAAGACGTCAAAAACCTTAAAATATTTACGAAAAACTCGAAAACATTTATTTATTTTCAAAAATGGCCAAAATATTTATTTAATTTAATTTATTCGGTTGCCCTGTTCATGACGTTCATATCGTTTTTCATTACTTTTCGAATGTTAATTTTGTGTTGTTTTTTACGTGCAACTTCGTAGTATTCATTGGATTTTGCTTCAGGAATTTTAGTCAATTGGAGTATTTTTTTTAAATAAAAATATATAAAATGGATGATCGTTCAAACGGTCATATGCTAAGGATGTTTTGTTTCTTTTGTGGATTTTCTATTTGCTTACAATTTGATCTTTGGTTATATTGACACATCGAAATCCTTCTTGATCATCATCACCATGAACATTGCTTTTCGAAGTCAGCAGTAGTAATCCCACCAAAATGAAGATACTCAATAAGTTCAATCGGTAAATACACTTGCGCAGTGGCATCGTATTCGTTTTTACACATTTGAAATTTTCAACAATTTTTACTCAATCCAAAAAAACATTTGGAAAAGAAAACTGAGGAAAAAATCTGTTTTTTGTTTGGAAATATTAAATTTTACGGCAAAATAGGCCTACACTGTGAGCTCTTTAAATTGAAACTGAACTTAATGAAAGGACTGAACAAACTGAAGTACTCAAGGCTCAACTCAAGATATATTTATAGCATAGTCTTTCGCCCACGTGAAATGTAAAAGAAACATCGAAATACGCAAATGAAATGACGTTCATTCTGGAAATGACACACATCCTCTGCCTTTAAAATCACAATACAATATCGTTTTCGTCCGGTAATTCTCAGATAACAATTTATTTTAGTCGTAAAATGATTTTTCTTCCAAGAACTTGACATATACTTTCTTATCTTATATACTTTTTTTGGAATGATAAATTGATATTTTTTTCAAATCATTTGAAGCACAATAGATTCAAACAAAGATTTTGGGGGAAAAATATTCAGACAAATGACGATGCATTTGATTTATTTGAGAACACCATATAAAAATAGTTTATCACATTTTATGGAAGAAATGGTAAATGTAATGACGCACATTTTATATAAAGTAAATCTTATGTAGTTGATTATTATCAATACAACCATATAGTACACTGAAGATCTCGTATCAGTTTCGTGAAAAATGTAAAATAAAAACGAACATATATGCGTTTTTAAGCATATTTTGAGGTCGAATGAAATGTCCTCTTCATAAAGTATAATTTTGTTTCGATTACTTTCTGAAATGAGAAAAAGCTCTTCATGTCATCAATTGGCCCGATGAAGAAAAAAAATATACAGAAAAAAGTTGTAAGTTACCATGAATTGGTCTCCCAAAACCGCAACCAGAATCAAACAAACTAAACGGAGAGAAAATATCGATTAAAACACAATGAGTGACTGAAATCTCAAGTATTGTCAAAAATGAAAATTAGAAAAAAATTATGGAAAAAAAAGAATTAAGAAGAGACTCACCCATCAATTGCTTAGATATGTTTATAGTCGAATCACTTGAACAATAACCTAGGGGGTAAGAACACAAGCGCTTGAGACGAATCCGTACGAATATTTGTGAATTCGTGTGATTCTCGCTTGTTCATAACACAGATGCACATGTCTAAATATTTAAATGATTAGACGATCTAATCAAGAATTCCAAGATACCATAGATGTGGAAAAACGAGAAAAATACATAAAGAGTTGAGTCGCACTAAGAAATTCGTTCCTTTCAGAAATGCAAAAAACGGCGAATGACCACCAATTTATTGGATTTCCATTTTTATTTTGATTTTAAAAAAATTTTTTACAAATAATTCTGTATTCAAAATTATGTCGAATGAAATTGTTGCAGGTATTCTTTTATCTACCGTTCATCCACAATTTGAATTCTGAAATATTCTGATAGAATACTAAATATGGTTTTTATCAAAACATATTTATTAATCGTTTTCATTTATTACTTTGAGTAAAAATCCAAATTGTAATTGATTGGACACAGTAAAATCGTCAATGCTGAATAAGTAGAGGGAATTTTGAGAAGTTACCAATACATTGGAAGCCAATTCTAACGATCATAAGCCAATACCAATAATGGCCAAATGTACACAAACCTGTTTTTGAAATGCAAATATTGTGCAAAGCTATTTTATTAGATGTAGATAAGACACATTCAATATGATTTTGAAGAATTTTATCATAATTAAATTACGCTAGAAACACTTTCTATGAACGACGATTTGGCGAAGAATCTGAAGAGATGTTGAAAACATGAGAAAGGTATCATCCAATATTGAATATTCAACACTCCTTAAAATACGCTCAGCACATTCATAATTGACGATTTTATTGTGTTCAATCGAAAATTCGTGAAAATATTTGGAATTTTTCCAAAAATGTCCACAAAAAAGGTCATTTCGTGATTTTTTTTGAGATTATGTCGGCAATTTTGCTTATTCCGACCAAAATGCTAAGAATTTTTGCCGATATTTTGCATAATATGTTGTATTTAGTTCCATCCTTTAAATATCAGATGATTTTGTATCCATTTACAATCACTTTTGGTGGAATTTTCCATCATTTTCCCACGTATGAATCGGAGCCCATATGCCATGGCCGATTGGCCGTTTTCGGGGCGTCCAACAGCTATACAGATAATTGTAAAAATGCAGAAATGCTCTAAAGAGCACCCAAAATAATAAATAATATCAATACAAATCACAAACATGTCAATAGATCGCATTTATTGCATAAAACTGTGAGTGTGTCTATAATTATTTCGCACTTTCATCACGCCAAAAACAGAAAAATCACCAAAAAATAGAAAATATGAAATCCTTTTGGGTAAATCTCTTTGTGATGTATTCGTAAATGGCCCTTAGTAAAATAATATAATGAAACTGCGACAATATTTGCGTTTATTTTTAAGGATTGTGAAACCACCAAAGTACGGTTTGACCTATTTCGGGGATTTTATCAACCTTGGCATTATTTTGCTGCAGCTTTTCAACGGTATACATATGACCTAAAATATAGCACCGGACAATGAACATAAAAAGATCAAATCAATTTTTTAGTGAAAAAAAAAAACATGAAAAACCTTTTCCGAAAGCGGAAGAAATCGGTGTCTGTCCATCTCGGTCTTCATTTTCGAGATTGGCTCCTTGCCTGATAAGGAATTCAACGACATCAATGTGATCTAAATAACAGAACAAATCAATGAAAAATATAAGAAAAAAAATCATATTTAGTGAAAATAATAAATATTAAACATTACCATTTGCAGCAGCCAAATGAAGAGGTGTCCGCTTGTTTTCGTCTATAGGATCAACTGTGGCTCCTTTCATGATGAGCATTTCAACGACATCTTTGTGACCTAACAAAATAACACAGATCAATGAAATTGAAAAGAAAAATCAAATTCTCATTTAGTGTGAATCGACGGTAGCAATTGTCAAACGTAAATTCTCAGTAGCGACAGTAAGAGTATGCTTACCATTCTCAGCAGCAAAATGAAGAGGTGTTTGTTTAATGTGATCTTCAAAATTAACATTGGCTCCTTTCGTGATAAGGAATTCAACGACATTCTTGTGACCTGAAAAATAGCCCGGAAATCAATGAAATAGATCAAACCGAATTCTTATTTTTACGGAAATATATATTCAACATTACCCTTCATAGCAGCATAGTGAAGTGGATTCCGCTTAAGTTTGTCCGTCGAATCAACTTTGGCTCCTTTCTTGATATAATTTTCAACGGCCTCCAAAAGACCTGAAATAAATCAATGATGAAGATTCAATCAATTCTTAATTTAGTGAACATGAATATCGATGGTTACCTTTCTCTGCAGCGTCATGAAGATCTGACCGGCCTGCTTCGCGTTTATTGTTTACTAAAAATTGAAGAAAAAGAACGGATTAATGAAGTGAAGCGAAAGAGAATACAACGAATTTATCATAAATTGAATTAAGTTCTAGTTGATTTAGCTAGGATTTTTTGCTGGATCAAAAACATTCAAAAATAAAACAAAATCGTCTTAAAAAATGACGATTTCGTCTAAAGGAAATCGTTCCTTTTTTAACAAATTCGTCTAAAATAATTTGTTTTAAATGACAAAATCATCTAAAAATGTGACAATTTTTTCTTAACAAAATCGGGTTTTAAAATAACAAAATCGTCTAAATACGAGCTTTCTGGCAAAATTGACGAAAACGCCTGAAACCCTCCAAAAACATCTATGGACAAAATGTTTATTTAAAGTGACAATATCATCTAAAACACTCTCAAAAATCACAATATGATATTTTCATCCTGAAAAAATCGCCTGAAATATGCCAAAAACGAATATGAACAATAGTTCATTTAAAATGACAAAATATTAATCCGAAATCCCAATTTTTTTCAATATCTTCTTTATTAATACAGAAATAAAGAAGAATATAAAATTTATTTACATCAGTCGTTTGCAAATGAAAAGATACTCTCCGGATTGGAAAGCCATCTTCAGTGTATGTCTTATTAAATTCACTGGGTATGGTTTTGATCATATCACTTTTTGAAATCAAACTAAGCTCAAACGCAATGTGTTGTGAAGAAAAAAAATAAAAATAATCGAATGAATATTCGGCAAATGTGTGTTTTCTTAAAGTAAAAAATAAAGAAGATATTGAAAAAAATTGGGATTTGAGATTATTTTGTCATTTTAAATGAACTATTGTTCATAGTCGTTTTTGGCATATTTCAGGCGATTTTTTCAGGATGAAAATATCATATGAATTTGTGATTTTTGAGAGTATTTTAGACGATTTTGTCATTTTTCCAGAAAAATTGTATTTGGACGATTTTGTTATTTTAAAACCCGATTTTGTTAAGAAAAAAATTGTCACATTTCTAGATGATTTTGTCATTTAAAAAAAATTATTTTAGACGAATTTGTTAAAAAAAAAGGAACATTTCCTTTAGACGAAATTGTTTTATTTTTAGACGTTTTTGTATTTAACCTATCGAAAATGCCTTCATACATCAAACGGTGCTTTGTATATGGAATGGTAAGAATGAAATTTAAAATTGAAATGGAACTTCAAACTTACCTCCCATCATTCCTGTCATTGCTTTGGTAAAAAACCCAGGTCCACCTTCAATTTGCTTCATGTTGAAAATTGTGAACGAATAAAAGATAATTAGTTTGAATCAACAAAATTGAACGAATTGAAATAGAAGGTCAATTGATTTTTGGAACTGAAAAAAACTATTTGCAAAACAAAAATGTCGAGTAAAGAATACGATTCCTTATAATTTATTTCTTTTTTCCATCGTTTTCGAAAAGTCAATTTGTATGAAAAATGAAAAAAAAGCCCTTCATGTCATCAATCGACCCGATGAAAAAAAAAATATACAGAAAAAGTTGTAAGTTACCATGAATTGGTCTCCCAAAACCGCAACCAGAATCAAACAAACTAAACGGAGAGAAAATATCGATTAAAACACAATGAGTGACTGAAATCTCAAGTATTGTCAAAAATGAAAATTAGAAAAAAATGATGGAAAAAAAGAATTAAGAAGAGACTCACCCATCAATTGCTTAGACATGTTTATAGTCGAATCACTTTAACAATAACTAAATTTCCACTAATTCGGTGCCTCATTTATAGTCAAAAATTAGATCTTGTAGACTTGTCATCGTTATGACACGTACAGCAAAACAAAATTCCTTACGACTGAAATCGAAAACCGTTTATTTGAAAACATGTTTTTAATTCGTGCTTCTTGCGTCAATTCTCGCGTTTTGTTATTTTGACAGGTGCAAATGTTTGGATATGCAAATGAACTCGTATTTACGCAAGGGAAATTGCGCATGAAAACCACATGAGTAACAAATTTTTCTAAAAATATTTTATTTTCGAACTCAGTGAACGTGTGATTACGTGCAGATGCAGATGTCTAAATATGTAAATGATAAGACGATCTAATCAAGAATTCCAAGATACCATAGATGTGAAAAAACGAGAAAAATACATGAAGAATTGTGAATATACCTTAATTGGAATACTCAAATAATTTGACTCAAAAATGAAATATGGTTGGTTTCTCCAAAGGTTCATTAAAGAATGAATTTAATTTTAAAACGGTTTGATTAACAAGTTTAAACAATAATGAAATGATGACAACCGAGCTGAATTTGCTAAATCGATCGGTTGATATAAGTTGATGAACTAAAACTGCTGATACAATGAAATTGGATTGAGTTACACACAAAATACTATTAAGCTCTTTTTCTTTTTACATTTGTAATTTTCTTTTCAAAACTGTTTTAAATTGTTTTATATTATCATTCAGAGGATTTATCGAATCAAATAATCTATTGTATGTGGTCTGCATTCTCGTAGATGGACAATATTTTCCATAGTTCAATTTTTTTTAGGTGGAATGAATGTTATGTTTGTTCTGTTCCGATACTGTTTATTTCTTAAAACAAAATTACCATCAAAAATAAAAATTGGATGCAAAACATAGTGGAGAACGCACATGTCGTAGTAAATTCTTTTTTGTTCCAATGTATTCATTTGCTGATGCGCTAGTCTGACGTCGTATGAGGCATATGGTTCACGTATTTTATGAAAGACATGCTGTGTGAATGATTTTGCACTCTTTGTTATTTCTTTTTTTTTGTGTAAGGATTCCAAACAGTTAACACTATGATTGTTCTTGGGGCACCCAGGGCCCCCAGCGAACTTTAAAGTTGAATAAAAGTACTAAACAGTGTATAAACCAACCGGAGTTAAGTCTCATTGTATAGATTGAACATTTCTCTACACGAATGAAAAAAAAACATATGCATATGTGTGAGTATGTGTAAAATACAGCCTGCCGCAAAATTTGTTACGCTGTTGTTCTTGGGGGACCACAGGGCCCCATGGCTATTTTATATTATAACTGGACTATGATAAGAGATAACGACTTGATGTCTGTGATGAAGTTGTAGTACTCAAGCTGTTCTACAACTTTCTCGTAGACACTAAGTCGTTATCTCTTATCAGTTTCGCGGAATACGCGAGAAACCGCAGAAAACCGCGAAAAAACGCGTTTTTTTCCTTATCATTTTTCACGGAACTGATAAGAGATAACGAGATGGTGTCTAAGGCAAAGTTGTAGTTCTGGTCGAGGACTACAATTATTCTGATTCATTATTCCGTTGTCTCTTATCAATTACGCGAGAAACCGCAAAAAACCGCGAAAAAACGCGTTTTTTTCCTTATCGTTTTTTCACGGAACTGATAAGAGTTAACGAAATAATGAATCGGAACAATTGTAGTACTCAACCAGAAATACAACTTTGCCTTAGACGCCATCTCGTTATCTCTTATCAGTTCCGTGAAAAATGATAAGGAAAAAAACGCGTTTTTTCGCGGTTTTCTGCGGTTTCTCGCGTATTCCATGAAACTGATAAAAGATAACGACTTGGTAACTTCGGCAAAGTTGTAGAGCAGCTTGAGTACTACAACTTCACCACAGACATCAAGTCGTTATCTCTTATCAGTTACGCGAAAAAACGCGAAAAATTCGAGTTTTTGATAATCATTTTTCGCGAAACTGATAAGAGATAACGATTTCATGTCTATGGTGAACTTGTAGTACTCAAGCTGCTCTACATTTCTGTCGAAGAGGCAAGTCTCTTACTTCTTATCATCTTCACTAAAACGATGTGGGAAAATTTTGCGATTTTCGCGTTTTTTCGAGTTTTTCGCGGAACTGATAAAAGATAAGCAATATTTGTTACACCAAAATTATAGCAAACTTTGAGTATTACAACTTTGCTTCAGACACTAATTTGTTATCTCTTATCACAATCCAGATTTGATATGAAGTATCTTGGGGGCCCTGGAGTCCCCCAAGAACAGTAATATGTTGCAAATATGAAGAACAGTTATGGTGTTAAACGGTACTCTAGGTGGGACCTTACGAGCGTGTTATACAGTAACTTCACACATTTTATGTCGGTAAAGTCCTGCGTTATACGCGTTATGAATCCCAGCAACTTATAGGCTTTGTTTGTTATCAATTCAATATGCTTGTCGAATCTCAACTTGGAGTCGAAAATAATAGCCAAGTTTTTTATGTTTTCAACTTGTAGAAGGCAGAGCGGTCAACGAGCGCTCGTTCGTTCGTTCGTATGCGAACATGTTCGTTTGTTCGTAGAATCTACGAACATGTTCGTTCGTTCGTTCGTAGAATCTGCGAAATGTTCGTTTGTTCGTTCGTTCGTTCGTAGGTAAAATTTCATTTTTTTTTTCAAACATAAATTTTTCTTATTTTTTAAAAAAATATAGGAATGATCCTATAATTTCCATTAAAAAAAAGACAAAATAACATACACCACTTCTTTTATGTTTGCATTCGACCTTTCAGGCTTTTTATTCAATGAAAATAATGAATTTTGATTCGATTGTATTTTAAACAAAATTTAAAAATCTATTCAGTGCCAATATAATATTTAATAATTTTATCTCTCTCTCCGCATGCATCACTTTCTTCGTTTCACAACATTTGAAACCAGCATTATTATTGCTTCTATCTGTCGTATGCGAATATACGAACCAACATGAATAGAAGAAAGTGATTTGCGGCGATGTTCTTTTCGTTGAGTGTTGTAATGTTTTTTTTACCTTTATGTTCAATGAAAAAATTATTGTACATCGTCTACATCCTATAAAAATAGTATAGCATTCAATTATTTCGAATGGATTTTGCTTTTCGCATTTGAATTGTTCCGTTAATATCGCCTTCTCTTATTTTGGGCTGTTTAAATAACATTCATTTTTTTAAAATGGAAATTATGGGATCATTCCTTTATTTTTTTAAGAAATAAGAAAAATTTATGTTTGAAAAAAAAAATGAAATTTTACCTGCGAACGAACTACGTCGACCAAAATCGTTAACTAATTCGAAAATGAAGTGTTTCGATGGCAAGATCGACGAGCTACGAGACAAGTTTAAATTTTATCGGGACATGCCAATTTCGAACATCTCAAAATGAGCCGCGATTGAAATGAAGATCGGCTTTGGAAGCACCAACATAGACAGTAAAATAACAACCAAAATAGTTTGGGTCATCACCATATGAAAAATATATACCATGTATTATTTATTTATTCACCGTCTTATCACAGACTGAATAGCATAATACAATTTGTACACATCCCATAATTTTACACAAGCAGTGACACACCCCGAATCGGATCACCTAGTCACCAGCCCTAATGACTTCGAAGTGGCGTTCTGCGGCGACCGATTGTGTTCATCACCTCTAAACATATAGTTCCTCAAATACATTGTTGTCTAAATTTGCTACATTTCTAATGAATATTTGTCTCGATGCTGAGTCTAAAAACGTTTGTCTTACTTTATTGAAATACCTACACGCTAAAATAAACGGTTGGTTACGGGCGTAGTCAGTACCATAAGTCTCAATTCTAACTAGATCTCTGTTTCTCACATTTCTTTGGTTCCTATTGTCTACTCGTCTAGTATATACAATTTTTTCTCTCAGTGCTGCGCTAATCAACTTTCCTAATAGGAGATCATAAATTAAAAATACTGAGGCATTTATACGTCGCCTCCAAAGCGGTTGAATATTCAAATTATCACATCTTAATTGGTACGATGGCAATCTGTAGTTAGCATGTCTTTGGTAAATTCCCCTAAGTGCCCAGATTACAAAGTCTTTCTGTACTTATTGATGTAACATACGTATGTGTAGAACAAAGATCGCTGGATGTCGCGCAAGGCAACAAAACACACTGAGAAACAAAAAAAACTGGGTCGTGATATTTTTATATGTATAGATGTGATTAGGATTCAAACACAATTAATTTAATGCGAACATGAATGGATATTTATTCTATTTAACTGTTAGTTTAAATATGTTAAATGTAAAAATATTTAATAAATTTGGTTGATTAAACGAAATTCGTGCTTTCCTGTCTTGTATTTCAAGTTTTGTTAAGGAGACGGAAGTTTTTAAGACAATAACAAGCGATTTTCAATATATTTTGCTATTTCAATATTAATTGTGCATGTAGCGATTCTCATTGTGTTTCAGTTATTTGAATCATCTTCGTTGAACTTTGATGTATGCAAAAAGAAAACAGCTTATTTGATTAGAGTGCACTCTGCGCGCCCTCTACTAAGCAATAGATGCACTGATATGAAATCAATTCTAGCTGACCGCTTCCATTTGTTTGTGTGAACTTAAGCTGACCGTTTCCATCCGTTTGTATTCTGACAAGCAGATGGCATCTGCATACACTTTTTTATTCGAGTTTTCTTGAAATGTAGCTTTGAAATGGAAATAAAATCGTATGATTTCTTTCAGAATGTGAAGAAATTTTTTGGCAGAAAGCTAAATTTTCGCCCTAAACATAAGAATTAGGAACATTCAAATTATTATTACATAAAAGTTGTTGCTAGAATTGAAGAAAAATATCTTGTATTCTTCGAATGGATTTTTTAAATGTAAGATTTTTGACTTTGAATTTTTATTCAAATAAAACATTCACACAACCTCCCAACATACGCTTCTATTCACGTTTTAAATTTCCTGAAAATTCCAGAATTCTGCTCCCATGAATAAAAGTTTCCGTCATGATTTGTTCAAGCAACAAAAAAATTGGATTTGTCATTTTAATTGCCTGATTTATAATAAATTGCATTACCAATTCAAATTTTATTTCAGTGAAAAATTCGTATGTGGTGATCACGAACCGTTCGACTCTGGACGAAGATAGATTATACGCTAACATGAAAATATGAATGGTTTCCATATTCTTCTTATTTTCGTATTGCTCATTCAATTTAAAAGTATTGCAAAGTCATTCATACAACTAGACGTATGTATTTATGAACCTTTGCACCAGACATATCACACCACTTACAGCACACATACACAAGGATTAGTCGCACCGGTTCCCAGTTGAAGACAAACAAATAACCGGATTCAATTCGTGTACCCAGATCACATATGCTGTTGATGATGGCTGCACCCAGCTCAATGCACGTTTTTTTTCTTGTTTCATTTCATTTTTGCTCGAAAGCCGTCCATTCATTCGATTTGTCATATGCTTGGTTTTATCGGATGTTAAGCGGCACGGTGTCTGGGTTTGCCACTCACGCAACACACCAAATGAATGTGAATTTTCTTTTAAATGACGGTGTTTTCGGTTCGGTTTCCATTTTCCATGCAAGTGAGATTGACCGTACGGAATCCAGTGAATGCAAATTACTGTGCATATTTTATGGAACGGGTGCACAAATGACACCTGAGTACCATCCGAATTATTTGTTTCGGTAAATTAACCGACCCGTCCTTTTTTGACATTCTCTCTGTTTTTCTGACGTGTTGGAAAAAGAGCGGGGAAAATCAAGCAAATTGGAAAATCATTCATACTCTTAAGACTTAAATGTGAAAAGGATGCGACATTTTCCGAATTTGATACAATCAAATTGACCCACCCTCAGTTTCAAGAAAGTCAATGGATTCGCTGCCAACTGACAACAGAACTTTTGAAATTATTCGGTAGTTGTGGCTTTGGATTCACATAAAGTTTGCGACATAATTTACACAAACCACCATTTTTATCAATTTTTACCATATATTTTTCGAAGCGAAAAACTTTTCCATTCTCTATTTATACATTTTTTTTCTCTTCATTTTTGGAACAATTTCTTATTCATTTGTTTGTTTCCCCCAATTTTATGTGATTGCATTTTTGTGTACACTTTCCCTCACTTCGTTTCTTCTCCTTTTCCTTCTTTTTCTTCTCCCTGTAACTGTTATCTCTCTGTTTGCATAGTATAAATTGGTCGTATCTTCGCTGAGTCGAACAATATCTTAGCGCAAATAATTCTCTGCTCAACATTTATTTATTATCGCTTGTGAGAAATGCTACTGGTTTTTGTTATGTCAATGACCGTAATAAATGTTCGTGTAAATGATATGGCATAAACAAAGCGCTGGAGGGCAATAAACGTGAGACACACTGACGACAAATAGTTTTAGTCGTTGCGAATTGCTTTGATAATCCTTTTTTTGGCGTTCGTGTGTTGCGCGACGCAGCACAACCGAAAACACATTGGTGTAGGTCGTAAGAGTATTAAATTCTTATGTGCGTTCACGATTCATTCACTCTGCTTGGCAATGAAAATGGATGGAGTGTAGCGAACAATGTACTCGAATGTGAATGAACCGAACGGTTTTGTGAGTTGGATGATGTTACGCATTACACCAAAATGGAAATGAATACACTCGGTCTAGGTATTTGACTCATTCAAAACATTGTAGTTTTCATGTTTCAGATGCAATTGACTAAAATGAACCGGTTTTGATTTTGAGGTATGCTATTTATTTACAATTCGTATTTGTTTTCAAGCAATAAACCAAATAAAACATAAGGGATGATAAGTAAATGGTTACCATATTTGGCATTTATTTAGCAAATAAGACAATGTCCAGGAAATCTTGAATGTGAAAATGAATGAAATTTCAAAAACTTAATGCTTAAAACAGAATCTGAATATAATTAAATCGTCGAAGCATACACCAATTTTCATTTTTTATTTATTTTCATCTCATGCAATGAAATCTCGCTCCTATCATGTAGATTTTACTATCCCTTCCCGTTTATTGGTCATATATATGCATCTCAAATTTTGTAAGGCAAAATTTGGATTTCAGAATTCAATTAACATTTTCTCTTCATTATCGATACTAATTACAATGTCATCATCGATATTCTATTCCCCGAAATCGTCACAATCCTCAGATGGTGGTATAAACGATTGATCGTTGATGCCTGATTCAGAGCTAAAGTAAGAAAATGTGTGTAATCGTTAATTTTATGATTTATCAGAGGCATATGAACGAGTTACTCTCAGTTTGACGTTAAAAATTCGAAATGAGCTTACCGAGTGGTGAAGTATTCGATGATGAATTGATACAAATCAGCTTCGCCACCATTTTCATTGTAATGGCATAGACATGTGAACAGTTCACCTGAAATCAAGCAGAGTGTTTATCATTCTAATTCGTTTTGAAAACAGCGAAAAGTAAGCACTCTTACCAATTTGCACTCCTTGCATCACTAAGAATTCGTGGATCCTTAGCAGGTCGCTTCGAAGCTGATCGTCACCGAATGTGTAATACACGAGTGGACGATCTGTAATGCAGCATGCCATCAACTGAAGTAGTGACTTGAGGTGTTTATCACCTCCAAAAATATCACAGCCCCATTTTCCTGTGGTCACACCTGGAGCTCGACCCGACATATCGTATTTAAAACCAATGAATGCCTTATTCAATTCACACTTCAGCATGTCTTTTTGATACTGTTGCGCTTTATTTGAAAAATTTTCGGCATCAATTGCAACAATTGCACTCTTTCTGCGTCGACACAAATCAAGCGGCGTTTCATCATTGCAGTCGCCAGTCCATTTAAATGTTGACGCATAGCCTTCATAGTTGTTAAATCGTTCACAGCCAACAATAATCATGCATTCGTTGTTGCCAAAGCGTTCAGTAAACAATCGACTGCATATCAGTTCGGGATAGATCACGAATAAGATTTCTTCTTGAACACAGCCACGGCCGAGCGTACCACCGCCCACAAATTTATTCACAAAGTCAACCTGCAACAGACCTTTACCATCATTCTCAATCTTACCATCGTTCGTCACGTGCAGTTGTGTGCCGGAAAAGGTCTTCTCAATCTGATCCCATTGTGGAAGCTCTTCATCAGGTATTGAGCGCCGCGTGAATGTCACGACACCGGTGGGCACTATTTGCGGAAAAGCATTGAAAAGCATTATTAGCCAAAATGAATGCAATACAAACAAATGTATACTCACTCTGTGAACAAACTCGTCGGAAATAATTGTAGATACATCTTATCTTCTCGATCGTCTGATCACCATCGGCCGCATACAATTCACCAAAATTTATTGACGGATAGCTTCGATACTCTCCCCTACGGTATTCATTGCGGTGCGGAAATGTACATAGAAAAGCGTTTGCCAATAAACATGCGATTTGCTTTTGGCTCAACGATATCGATTGGTTTTGACCTTGCTTCAACAGTGGAATAGTACTTTTAATAATTTCGGGCAACTGCAATGCAAGCTCGATCATTGCCGGCAATGTTTGATTGAAAAATGATTTGGATTCGTTCTCATCAAGTTTCTGCGCATTAATCAAAAACAAAGAAATTAGTTAGATTTTGCGATGAAATCACTGAAATTCCAATTTTATATAGTATTGTTGAATTGAGAAGAATTTTTGAGAAACGATAAAAAATCTTTTTCTTTAAAATAAAGAAATGATTTAACTCGTTCGCTTGCCTAGTCATTTAGAGTGTTGTTTCAAATCAATTTCTCATTGATTTACAAAATGGTTGAAAGCCGTTCTCAATACTGTTTCATTGGAGTATTGGAATAATACGTTTTTGAGAAACTCACTTCGAAAAATGCGTGCAATGATTTGAATCGCTGATGTTTAATGTCCTGGTTATATGTTAAGATGGCATGTTCCAGATTTTTGCTGCTAGAATGTTCCCTCCACAGTGATTTTTGGATGAGTTCCCATCGTGAAGAATCGGTTACGTATCTCGCTAGAAAATTCTGTCCATGTAACAGATATTAAATTAAGTGACATCGTTCTTGGGCATTGTTGGGTGTTTATTTTGGATTAAATTTGGGGTTGATTCATATGTGTGAAAAGCAAAACAGGAAGAAAAAAACACATTACCAGAGTACTGTTCGTTTTGTATACATTGTGTGGGTCGAACGGCATTCGAACATGATCCCGGTCCCTCGGAATAGATGGCTCTAGCAATTGATTCGGATCTTGTGGAATTGGCAACTGAAAAAGAGCAATGTGGTTCTGGATGCGTGGCATATTATCGTCACCGCGATGAGTCTCGTCCATTTTGTTTCCACTGAATGAGCTCTTTTTTATCAAATACTCTACAATTTCTTTAGGTTTCAACCAATTTGCATTAACTAAACGCATATTCAAAATGTCAAAATCACAGAACAAATAAAATTAATTTCTCTCCGTTTCTATCTGTTGATTTAATAATTTGTTGATGCAAAAAATTGCTTGGCTAAACTGTTTTAGACATTTATTTCCAATGTTAGACGTAGATTCGTATAGCTGTTTTTTGATTGCTGATCACAGAAGTTGATACATTTTTGGGAGAAAAAAAAATCAAGTTGACACCTATAGAAGAAAAGAACAACTTAATAACAACATCTATAAATGATGCAGATTAGTGCAAAAAAGAGACAAATAAAGTTGCGAGCAAAAGTTACACAACTGAGCGGAAAAGACGTTTTTTGCATTTTTTTTTCGCTACTGGAAATAGATCGGCAATTCCACACGAAATCAGAGAAGAGTTGTAATGTGAGGTCGCCGAATTGGCTGAAAATTGGTTGAAAATTGGCTTGGAGTCTTGTTTTCGATAGAAAATGAGAAAACCAAAATCTTAGGGCTGTAAGTGGCCCACATTCCTGAGTTCACCCAGTGTAAATTTTGCAAAAAATTGAAAAAAATCAAAAAAAGGGTTTGCGCTAACTGAAATCTAACTAAAAAGTTGTTGACACATTGCCAAATCACTGGTACCGTTGGAAAGGGAATCGATGGGGCTACAAAAAAAAATAAGTCACCTTCACCTTGATTGGGGCCTCGAAAAATGGGTTCAAAGTATAAAATTTTAAATATCTCAAAAACATGGCGATTTTTTTATATGTTTTTTTTCGCGTTAAAAGATAGCCCATATCGCACCGCTTCAGATATGAAAATAAAATTTCGTGTGTAACCCCAT